AAGGGGAGAACGTGTCCACGCGGGAGGTGGAGAGCGTTCTGTCGCTCGTGGACTTCCTGCAGGAGGTGAACGTCTACGGCGTGTCGGTGCCAGGTGCGGAGGACTTGCCTCCTTTTAAACCGCCAACAGCTTTGTGGGCGGAGGGGTGTTATCCAGACTTCACGGGGCGGGGAGCTGCTGGAGCAGAGCCAGTGAGTAGAGAAGGGCCAAGTGAGAGGGTCAGCCATGGGCGCTATGAGGTGGGTGACGCCGGAATGACTGGTATGTTCCCCAGGTTGTGAGGGCAAGGTGGGCATGGCTGCTGTGCGGCTGGTCCCCGGCCAGACCTTCGATGGTGAGAGGATGTACCAGCATGTCCACACTTGGCTCCCTGCCTACGCTGCACCCCATTTCATCCGTATCCAGGTGAGCTCTGGGTGGCAGAAGCAGGTGGAGGTGAGGTCTCGGCCAGGGGCTCACAGTCGGGTTATGCTTACTGCCCCTGCAGGACACCCTGGCGATCACAAGCACATTCAAACTGGTGAAAACCCGTTTGGCACGCGAGGGCTTCAATGTAGGCATCATTGCTGACCCCTTGTTCGTGTTGGACAACCAGGCCAAGGCCTTCCGGCCCCTGACGCCAGACATGTACCAGGCTGTGTGCAATGGAACCTGGAGACTCTGATCATTTAGCCAGTCCAGAGGACATCTGAAGTGGTAGCACCCAGTGCTGACTACCACTCCCATTTGCAGGGTCACCTCCCCCCGCCCAAACCTGCTGAGGGTCATCATGAATCCTAGCCTGGCCAGAGAGTGAGATGATGCTAGGCCCAGTAGCAGAGTGAGAATGAACTTGGATGTGTACACAGATGTCTACTACAGATGTAGGGGCCAAGGGCAGGTGGGTCACTTCGGCAAAAAGATTGTGTTAAAAGCAATAAAAACCTAGGAGATTCAGGGGTGCCTGGGTGCAGAGGGTTAAAGCCTCTGTCTTCGTCTCAGGTCATGATCCTGGGGTCCTGGGATCGAGCCCCGCATAGGGCTCTCTGCTCACCAGCGAGCCTGCTTCCCCCTCTCTCTCTGCCTACCTCTCTGCCTACTTGTGATCTTTGTCAAGTAAATAAATAAAATCTTGAAAAACAACAACAAAAAAAAAACTCTAATAGATTCAGAAGCTCTTTATCTCCCCCACAGATAACTACATTGTGACAGGGAGGAACCTAGCAAGGCCTCTTTGATCAAATTCCTGTGTCCTCTTGTTTCTGAATGGTCCAAAGACCACTTGTTTACCAAGTATTTACTCTTTCGTCTTCCTTTAAGTTGTATTCTTTCCTACTGAATTCCGGGACCTCGATACCTTTCTCAGTTCAGTATGACATGTATACCTCATTTTGCCTGTCTTTGGAATTTTATGGCTGTATGTATTCCACATACGTACCAATTTAATTTGATTTTCTCCTGTTAATATGTCTCCTGTCCACCTGATTCTTAGTCAAGCCAGAAAGTCCTGGAACGACAGAAGAAATTCTTCCTCCCCAACAGTAGATGGAGATACAGACAAGGACTTCAGGGCCTAGTGCACTCCAGACATCTTACTTACTTCAGGGTTCCCACCACCTACCATCACCAAGGAACTTGGCAAGTCTCAGGGAAAACCTCTCTCTAGGCAATGCCACCAGTGTGGGAGGAGCCAGCAGCCTCAGAGTCATTCCAGGGTTGAGACATAAGGCTCACTCTAACTGTAGATCTTTTTGTGGCCTCTGATGGGCTGACTCCAGGCTGACAGATGTGGTATGGTCTGGAGGGTGTAAGAAGTGCTATCATGGTGATACGACAATGACCTCGGGCTAAGCCCAGAAGGATGAGCAACAAGTAACTGGGAAAAGAGTGTCCTTGGCAGAGTGCACCTGCAAAAGCCCTGACGCAAGTCCTGTGGGGAGGGGTGTGGAGCAGATCAAGCCCTCTGGAAGATGAAATCAATGTCCTAGGGGCCAAAAGAGCCCACTGGGCACTGTGTGTACTGTTGGCAGGATCATGTTTTTGCTGGTTTCAGAAAAGTGTAGTAGACACTATCTCGGGGGCTTTAAACGTTAGTTGATCATTACCCAACTACATAGTCTGTGGGCCAAGGAACAGTGAGTGCCAAAGCCTTGGGAAGTATAGTCCTCAATGTCTCAAGAACCAAAAATGCTTCCTTGGGAATTAGGATAAATACAGATAGGAATTTCAGGGCACTGAACCCCTGGGAAGTGCAATCCACCCCATGTCAAGGGCTTTAGGTGCTGCCTAAATGTGGATGTGGGAGGAAGGGAGATCTGCAGGGTGTGTTTAGTGCTGGGGAAGGGGACAGGCATAGCTGACGACACTGCAGGGGGGGACAGGATGGGTGTGGCCTTCACTGAGTGGGAAGCAGGATGGAGCACATACACATGGCCAGACACTTGTTCAGATAGTGTTGGTATTGCCGAGAGCCCGGAAAACACAGGTCTCCTGTGAAAGTGCACTGCCTCCTTGAGCACCCATGTGCCATTAGGAGAGGGTTCTACCCTTAGGCATCTGCCATTGTGGGAGGAGGCTGTGGCCTGTGCAGACCCCAGGAAAGCCCCTGCTTCCCCAAAAGATGGTGCCAAGCTCTGTCCCTCCCTTCCATTTGTGTCTGAGTCAACAGCACTGATGTAGCAGTCACCTGTTTGTGGGCATCGCTGTGGGCACAGTACTTCAGCACATGCACAGCTGATGTAAGTGTCCACGCTGCTGCCAGTGGGTGTACCAGCGAGTACCCAGGCTGGAGGCAGAAGCCGTACAGTAATTGGAACTGGGTAGATTTGATACGTAAAGCTATTAACTATAGGGGCACATGCGTGGCTCAGACAGTTGAGCATCTGGCTCTTGATATTAGCTCAGGACATGATCTTAGGGCTGTGAGATGGAGCCCCGCATCTGACTTCGTGCTCAGCCAAAAAGATTTAGAAATAATTTTTTTTAATTAACTATAAGGACGCCTGGGTGGCTCAGTCAGTTAAGCATCTGCCTTTGGCTCTGGTCATGATCCCAGGGTCCTGGGATCGAGTCCCACATCAGGCTCCCTGCTCAGCGGGGAGCCTGCTTCTCCCTCTGCCTGCTGCTCCCCCTGCTTGTGTGCTCTCTCTCTAACAAATAAAATCTTAAAAATAAGTTTTACAGTTATTAACTATAACAGAGAACTAACTCTTAAAATTCTTCAGCTGAGAGAATGCCCAATGTAAGAATAAATTTTCGAGTGGGAGCCCTCTCCTCAAGGTTGGAGTTCAGACGATATTGGGGAAGATGTGTTTGCAACACACCAGGAAGCAGAGAGATTCTCTGGGTTGCCTAAGCCAAGCCAAAAACACCTGGATGTGGTGGTGGGCCAAAGCGATAAGCAGGCATGCAGATGACTTAAGGTGCCACTGCAGGTATAAGGCCTACAGCATGAGGTATCTGCTGGGAGAGGCACTGGGAAGCCGTTTGCTAGCAGGGTACCTTGGGGTGCATGGTATCTGTATCAGGAGGGCTGTGGTGAGGTGGCGACTGGGACAGGCCAAGGCTCTGAGCTTGCCAAAAGAAGGCCCGCTTTGGGCAGAGTCTCCACATGTACCACTGCTGTCGTGGCAGGAAGAAGAGAAACAACTTGTGGTTCCCTCCAGTGCCCTCTACGACTGACCAAGCTCAACAACGTGCTGACTGTGGAGGAAAACTGGTGCAGGGCCCAGCCCACCACAGCAGACGGGCACTGGTATGAAGCAGAGAGGCGATACACTGGTAACTGCAGTGGGCTTGGGCTGTTTTCTGATTTTTTTTTTCTTTAAAGATTTTATTTATATATTTGACAGAGGGAGAGAGATCACAAGTAGGCAGAGAGGCAGGCACAGAGAGAAGAAGGGAAGCAGGCTTCCTGCTGAGCAGAGAGCCTGATGCGGGACTCGATCCCAGGACCCTGAGATCATGACCCGAGCCGAAGGCAGAGGTTTAACCCACTGAGCCACCCAGGTGCCCCTGTTTTCTGATCTTTTTGCTTTCACAGATAGTTGCTCTGTTTCTATAGCTGTCTTTTGGTGCTCATAAGCATTCATATATATTTTTTTAAAGATTGTATTTATTTGCATGAGAGACAGAGAGATGGGGTGAGCGGGAGGAGGACCAGAGGGAGAAGGACAAGCAGACTCTGTGCTGGGCATGGAGCCGGACTCGGGGCTTGACCTCACAACCCTGAGATCATGACCTGAGCCAAAACAAGAATTCATTTGTGGGGTGCATAGCCAGGAGTGGAATTGCTGAGTAAGAGTATACATAGGTTCAGCTGTAGTACATACAGGCAAGTTTTCCAAAGTCATTATTTGTTTTTTTTCAATTCTTATTAATACTTTTATTGAAAAACACTATCACCATTTTATTCCATACCCCATTCATCCCTGGATGCAGGCCAGTTTTGTATTTTAGCCACGAGGAGCACCCGTTAACAATATGTGATTGCATTACGTTTTCTGTGTGCTATTTAAAAAATTGCCACAAATTAATAAATAAAATCTTTAAAAAAAATTGCCACAAATTTAGTGGCTTAAAACAATATCCATTGGTTAGCTCACCGTTCCGCAGGTCAGAAGTCTGGGAGGCACTGGCTGGGTTGTCTGCTCTGAGTATCACAAAGCTGAAATACATTGGCTGGGGAGGCTCTTATCTGAAGACCTGGGAGTTATCTACTTCCACACCCATTCAAGTTGTTGGCAGATTGCAAAGCCTTGTGGTAGGACTGAGGTCTCTATTTCTTTGCCAGCTGTCAGCCAGGGTTTGTTCTGAACTTCCAGAGGTCACAGTGGGACTCCCTCTATCTTACAAGCCAGCAGTGGTGAATCAAATCCTTCTCAGGCTTCGATTTTTTTTTTTTAAGATTTTATTTTATTTATTTGAGATGGTGGTGAGGGGGGGCAAGGTGGAGAGTGGCAGAGGGAGAAGGAGACTCCACTGAGCAGGGAGCCCGATGCGGGACTCGATCCCAGGACCCTGGGATCATGACCAGAGCCGAAGGCAGATGCTTAACTGATTGAGCCACCCAGGTGCCCCATGCTTCGAGTCCTTTGGACTTCCTTTCCTGTCACGAGCCAGAGAAAACTCCATGCTTTAAAAGGGTTCACGTGGGGCGACTAAGCCTGGGTGGCTTAGTCATTCAGTGGCACTGCCAATATTCTGACCCATGGAAAGCAGAGATCAGGATTCTTATGCAGAAACTTTCCATTATGAAAGTGAAATTTCTAAAAAATCTCAAACGTGGACGGGCACTAGTTTTCCATCTGCCTGCAAACAGAGGCAAGGCATATTCTCCTGGGCCGTCTGCACCTTCTACACCGAGACATCGGGCCCGGAAGCTTCAGGAAGGGTGGAAAGGGGCAGTTTCTGAGTAGCCACCTGGGGCCACTGAGGTCCCAGGGGTAGGGAGAGTCCTTGGCCTGTCAGCCTGCATTGGGTCAAAGCTGGGGTCTCAGAGCCAGGAAGTCACCAGGCTTAGGCAGCAGATTCTAACTCGGGCCTCACGGGGTGGTGGAAGGAGGGGCAGCTTCTTTCCACTTACGCCCAGGTGGCTGTTTTGGGGAGACTGAACTGGGGCAGGGGAACCTCCTGGGAACTCTGATTCACCAGTGTCCTCTGCTGCCCCCAAGAATCACAGAGGCTGAGCAGCCCCGGGGAAAGCTGGAACCAGAGCGCCAGGAACTGTGTCCAGGCCCTGGAAGCTCCCAAGCCCGCAGGATGAGGACACTTTCTCGGGCCCTTCATGGGGCTTCGGGTCGGTGGCTCTTCCTATGGATGACCAGCTGGGACTTCCAGTCAAAGCCACGGCCGCAGTCCCCACAGAGGTGGCGCCGCTGGCCCACGTGGCCCTTGCGGTGGATGACCAGCTGCGACTTCCAGCTGAAGCTACGCCCACAGTCCTCACACGCATAGCTCCGAGGGCCTGGGAGCATGCGCCGGGGGGGCCGGGGTGTGCCCGGCTCCCGGGAACCCAGAGGCAGCTTCTGAGCACCCCCGATGCCCAGGGCCTGTGGACCCTGCCCATCCGCATGGGTCCGGTGGTGGATGACGAAGACTGATTTCCAGTCAAAGCCTCGGCCACACAGCTCACAGGTATAAGGCTTCCTTCGCGGGGCACCGGCCTCCAGCCCTGCTCCCAGCATTGCCCTGGCAGACACAGAGGCCCCAGACGGGCCCTCCCAGGTGACAGATCCTGGGCCCTGGGGTGGCTGGGCCTCTGGGCACTGGGGTGGACCCTCGCAGTGGCTCTCACTTTCATCTCCTGGGGGAAGGAGAGGTGGCAGTCCCAGTAGCCCAGTACCCTTGACATTGGTCCACCCTCTCCCGTCAGGTGTGTGGGGGTGGACAAGCTCCCACCCCAGCAGAGAACAGGTGGTTCCAGTCACATGGAGAAGAACTCACCCGGGTGGAGGCTTCTTCGACCCTCTGTCCCCGTACGCAGTGCCCCAGGCTCCAACTCCACCCGTGCCTCCGGCTGGGGGGCTGGTATCCCTGCTGGGGTGAGGGGCAGTCAGGTAGCAGTCATAGCATGGGGGTGGGTGAGGGGCTCTTACATATTAGGGGCGGGGGTGGGGGCCCCGTTGGGTGACAGGGTGCCCTCAGGTAATGAGCAGGAACTCGGGTAAGCGCTGGGAGACGTGCACAGGACAGGGCTGGGCAGAGTACCCTGTGGTTAGGGCTATGCAGACACTGAAGGAGGGGTGATGGCTGGTCCTCACCCAGGGAGACCACCGTGCCATACTTCTCCAGCATTGCGTCCCAGTACAGTTCCTTCTGTGACGGGTCCAGTAGCCCCCACTCCTCCTGTGGGGATACGGCCCATCACCCTTGGTACCTGTCCACCCCCCAACCTCCGCCTCGCCTGCAGTGCCCACCCTGCCCGTGTCCCCTGGTCATGACCTTACTCATTACCTGAAGTAGCGGGCAGGCTACCTAAGGCTCTTTTGCTCGCTAAGGGTGAAGCTGAAAAGGGTGTGTGAAGGTTGGGAAGTAGGGCAGAGAGGAGCTGTCCTTCAGCTCACTGGGGGGATGCTGCTAGCACCTGTTCCCCTCAGAAGCCCCATTCCATATTCTAGCCAGAGAGAGTAAAGCTGAGAACCCCTTACTGGGTTCTGGGAGAAGCGGAGGTGGGCACAGATATGACTGTCCCCACCTCCTTGCCTTGAACAGTGTGCTGCATTGAGAACAAAAGGCCTGGGGACCCAAGGGAATCCAGCCACCTCTCCCCAAGCCTCTGATTACAAAAGTAACAGAGATCCTCCTTGGGGGAGTTGCTGAGGGCTGTCAGCATTCCTAGATGTGGGGACCTAGCTTTGGGGAGGTTTAGGGCAGGAGAACTCACATTAGGAAGTGCAGCCAAGCATCTCGGTGCTCAGAGCGGGTGTGTGGGTGGGGTGGTGGGCTGGGTCCCACCTGCTGCCAAAGGGTGAACTCTGGTGGTTGAAGCACCACCTTGTGGTGGACCCTTGTGGACTTTACCAGGGCATGCACTCCCTGCCCCTGGCTTCTGCTATCCTTGCCTCCCCAAATCCCACCATCTGGGGCTTTGCTGGGGTGGGAAAAGTAATCCTGCCAGGCAAATGCCTGCAGGTCCAGGGACAGGGAGGAGACAGCTGCACGAAGCCGCAGCCAGAATGCTGCTGGCTGGAGCTCAGCGGCTTTGGAGGGTGTGGCCTGCCCACCCAGCTGTCGGGCACTGTGCCATCAGACTGTGGAGAGAGCCTGGAGGAACTTTTCAGCCTCCAAGCCCATCTCAACCAGCTCTTCCACTGGGAACGCTCCCCAGTGGAATGGGTTAGGAGCAAAGCTGCTGGGAAAAGACAGGACCCCTGCTGTTCACACTCAGGAACCAAGCAACCAAACACTCCAGGTAGCCGGGGCCTCCGTGGGACTTCCACGCCCAGCTGGCCGCAGCCCAGGGCTGGCTGGCTGGCCTTCAAAGAAAGCCCCAGGAAAGAGGTGGCTGCAGGTTATTTCCTAGAGGACGGCCACCTGTTGTGTGGAGGGGGAGGGGAAACCAAAAGGGAAGGCCAAACTGTTGTGTGGTGCTCAGGCTTTCTTGCCAAGGTTCACCATCTTGACCCCTCCCCACGTGCCCATGAGGGTTCAAGTCCCCAAGTACCAGTTTAAGACTGCTAGGTGCTGGGGCGCCTAGGTGGCTCGGTCGTTAAGCATCTGCCTTCAGCTCAAGTCAAGATCCCAGAGTCATGGGATTGAGACCTGCATCGGGCTCCCTGCTCAGCGGGAAGCTAAGCCTGCTTCTCCCTCTCCCACTCCTCCTGTTCCTGTTCCCTCTCTCGCTGTCTCTCTCTCTGTCAAATAAATAAATAAAAATATAAAACAAAAACAAAACAACAAAAAATTTACTAAAAAAAAAAAAAAAAAAGACTGCTAAGTGCTTCAAAATCCGTGATTTCTCTGTAAATGAAGAAACCCAACCCTTACCAGTGTCAGTCACTCTAAACCAGATTCTGTGGCCTAAGGCCCAAATTCTTCCCAATTTTAGAGAGACCACCAGCCTGCCCCGTCCCTGAGGATCTGCAGAAGGGACCTTGATACCAACTCCATTTCTGGGCAGCAAAGAGCACAAAAGCTGCTAGCCAAGAAGCCTGAAAAACTGGCGGGCAGAGTGGCCACCAAGGACACACTCCTCCTTCTGGGTGCCTGTAGCTTCCACCTGGGGCTGCTTACCTGAATCCTGGGTGGGTGGAAGGACGTGGAGGCTGGTTCCCGGTGTCCAGGGTGCCCCTCATGGCACTGGGCTGGATTTGGGGGATTGGAAGATGCTAGAAATGAGGCAGATGAGGGTTGGGGGCCGGTCATGTGAGCCATGGCAGGTGACCTGGTGTTGGTGCTGCAGCCTTGGCCTTCCTCTGCCAGGAGCCAGGAGGCTACTATGTGTGCCAGTCACATGGCAGGCAGCCTGCCAGTCCTTTCCTCCTGCCTCCTGGGGACCCAGCTCTGCAGTCCTTCCCGAGTCCTCATCCCATCTGGGGATATTCACCTTCCTTTCAGGAGCCCCCCAGAACTTGTGTAGTTCCCACTCTCACCCATCTCCTGCCCATCAGCATCTGGCTCCTCCTTCACACTGCAGCTAAGCTGGGCAGACCTCTCCGTCTGGGTGTCCTGGGATCCCTCCCGAGAGATGGCCCCGAGAAGCTCCACTGTCCCTGAAGGGTGGGATCTCCCCAGGGACTCCTCTGTCTTCTGTGCTGCTGGGAACACCACTTGCTTCAGGACACGGGATGTGATCTGAGGGGAAGAGGAATGTCACAAGGGCTCTCGTATGGCTCTGTCCCTCAGAGAAGCCAATGCTGGCCACACTCACCCAGCCCAGCAGCTGCCCAGGGTCATGCTGCAGGCCCTCGACCAGGGCTACAGCCTCCTCAGGGCTGCCTGGCCGCTGGCCCCGCACCCAGGCCTGGATCTCGGGGGGCAGTGTGCTCAGAAACTGCTCCAGCACCAGCAGCTCCAGCATCTGCTCCTTGGAGCATGCCTCCGGCCGCAGCCACTGGCGGCACAGCTCTCGAAGCCGGGCCAGGGCCTCACGGGGTCCTGCCACCTCCTGGTAGCAGAATCCTCGGAAGCGCAGGCGTGCTGCCTCAGGCTCCTCCAGGATGGCCACGGCGTCCACAGAGGGCAGGCGTGGGGGGCCCAGTGGGGATGGCATTGTTGTACTGGGTGTCTTCTTATAGCCAACAAGAGAGACCTGCGGGAAAGGAGGGGTCAGGGTGCGGGCTAAGAGGCCATGGCGAGGGTAGGGCGGACAGGCCCAGCCCAGGGGGCTGAGGCTGGTTGAGGAACGGCTCTGGCCCAGGGATGCATGAGGCTGGGAAGGCTCGGTGGAGGGAGGGGTCACAGGAGCTGGCTGCCGACGGAACTGAAGGCAGAAGGAAGCCTTGCGGTTGGACGCTCTGGAGGCAAGTTGTCCAATGGAGCTTCCAGGAAACTGCAGGAGACGATGAAGAGGAGGCGAAAGGAGTCACGGCGGTCTTCCAGGGTCTCACTCAGAAGCCCGGTAAAGTGACAGGCAGGAGGAGGAGGAGGGGCAGGCAGCCAGGGACTGGGTGAGGCCATCACCCCTGGTGAGGGGGAGCAGTGACGGTGGGAAGAGGCCTCAGCAGGACACAGGGCCGTGCTGGGCTGTGGCGGAGTGTGTGTCCCCACGATCTCCAGATCTCCGGGACATGGGGACATGTTGACGGAAGTGGGCCCCCTGCGGGGCCGGCCAGGAGGAGGAGGGTCGTCTGCGTCACGGGGCGAGCCAGAGGCTGTGTGGACTCCAACACACCGCGCTCGCTGACCCCAGGGGACTGGGAACGGCTCGCGTCGCCGGAAGCAAGCGTGTGACAATCACAACAAAGCAAAGCTACGAGGTGCGTGGGGTCCTCAGCGGACACTGTGTCCCGGCCGTCAAGAGGGTCTGGGATGAACTAAGGCCACCTGGGGTGCCCGTCAGACCAGCTAGACCAGGCCTGACCCCCCGGAGAACGGCCCCCAAAAGGGAGGGGTAAGAGGTCCTGCCGGAGGAGGGGGAACGCCGTTCCGGGTGGGAGGAAGAGCCCGGGCCGAGGTGGGAGGTGGGGCGCGCGGGGCGCGTCGGGCGGTAGGCGGGCGCTCCGAAGTGCGGGCAGAGTGGCACCGCCGGGTGCCCCCGGGATGCAAAGAGCCGCGGCCCGCCAGGCCCCGCCGGTGCTCACCTCCGCCGGCGGCGCCGGCGCCAGAAAGCAGCCTCTGTGGAGGGGCTCCGCCCACCGCCCCCGCGCGTTGCCATGGCGACCCCGCCCCGGCCAACCACGCGCCTGCCCGGCAGGTCCCGCCCCCCCCTTCGGACTACGTTTCCCGTGAGACTCAGCAAGCGAGGACGGGCGCGGCCTCAGCCAGCGGATGCTCATTGCCAAAGGCCTCTCACAACTGAGAAGAGCTCTGTTCCTCTCAGAGAAATGAGAAGAGTCGCAGACTGTGGGGGCTCCCTCCCCGCTCTGGCGGCCGCTCTTCCTTTGCATCCGCACCCTGGACTCACCAACGGCCGCGACGGACGGTACGTTAGACTCCTGCGCGTGCGCACAGTGGCTCCGGCGCCTATTGGCAAGCGAGTGGGGTGGGAGGAGCGTGACCTCACGGCCGTCCTGAGCTAGCGCCCCACCTAGGCCGCGTTCTAGTCGCGGAGCAGTCCTCTTGGTGACCGCTAGAGGACACCCGCCCCCCTCCCTGTTTCCAAGGCAACGGCCAGAGCGTCGCCGGGTCCTCCCGGGAAGCCAGAAGGGACTGCGGGAACAGTGCAGACTCGCCTCCAGGTGGTCCCCGGAGGAAGCAGGGGCCGACCTTATCTGTGGACTTTGTCCGCCATCCCCGGGAAGGACTCCAGCGGGGATGGTGCTGGGGTCCTTATTCGACCTCTGCTGGGTGCCCTGCGGACATCGAGAACAAGGACCAGGGTGGACACATATTTACAGAAGATACTGTCCCATGATTTATACTCTCAGAGTCTCAGACACGTCTTCAGATGTCAGTACTGCAAAGTGTGGGACGAAGGTTTTTGTCCAGCTTATGGGACGCCGCTAACCTTTTACATGGGGTACCAAAACGAGTAAGAGTACCTTCAGTTTATCTCAGTAGCCAAGAACCACACTGTGGGAAGGGGTGCTTTGCTTCCAGAAACCAAGTATTCGGTCCTAAATTGCATATGCCTGTTTTGATTTCTTGGGATACCTAGTAATCCCTAGCTCCTAGCACTCAGTGAAGAGCAGTGGTCGTACACACTGGATGCTCTAAGCATCTGCATGGGTGGGGCCTGTCAACTCTTCCACGCGTCATCAGACTGAGCTGTTTTGGGTGGGGATGGGGGACTTAGATTGTTTCTCTGGAACTGTATGGATTCCCCAGAAATGTCTCTTCCACCATGGGGACAGCTAGTGCTCTAATAGCTTTAGTAGCTGTCCCCCAGTCACCTTTGCTTTAGGTCCCTTCTCCCAGGGGGCTGCTGCTTTACAGGCCTTTTGGAGTTCTGCACTATAAGCCTGGTGGAACCTCTGCCCACTTCCCCAGGGCCAAATCAGTATTTAGCTTTCTCTAAATCAGAGACAGATCCCACATCTGCTTCTAGTTCCAGAATGCCATTGCTTCTAGTTTCACCATCCTCGTTCTTGTGGGTTCATATTTTTAAATATTCTCATCTCTGTAGCTCCAGTGGGTTTCTGAACCAAGTGAAATGCATGTGTTCACACCACTATCTTGCCCCAGAGAGCTCAAGGGCACTGTTAACCTCAGCCTATTCAGGATTAAGGACTAGCCTAGAAAAGAGAAAAGAAGAAAAGGAAAGGAAGGGGGGGGGAGGAAGGAAGGAAGGAGGGAGGGTAGGAAGGAAGGAAGGAAGGAAGGGAGGGAGGGAGGGAGGAAGGAAGGAAGGAGAGGGAGAGGGAGAGGGAGAGGGAGAGGGAGAGGGAGAGGGAGAGGGAGAGAAAGTAAAAGACTAGCCTGACAGGACAAGGCTCAGCATGACCACAGAAGTTTAGTGGAGGGCAGTGTAAGGCTCAAGATATGGGGGAAGGCAGATAATCGTGGTCACTGTTCCCCTAAGGCCCCAGTGTGGGCCACTGACCATTCCTATGCACTGGGAGGGACGGGTTTGAGAAGGGTAGAGGAAGTGAGGCATAGCAGGGGCCAAGCACACAGGTGGGAAGGACCTCAATGAAGTGGGGAGGAGATTGGTGGGGAGATGGCTCAGGACATCAGACCCAGCTCAAGGGGTCAGGAGAGCTCCAGGAGCTCCAGTCCAAGATGCAGAAAAGGTTGCATATGACTTGAGCCACGTGCTGCTTGACAGTTGCCTTTGCCTCTGAATCCCATGGGCTCCCAAGAAAGTGGGGGATTGTCTGCATTTCACAGCTGTGCAGACTGAGAATGGCACCCTCATGATGCCATTCTAAAGGAAGATGGGGATGAGGCCAGAGTGTATACCAGATCAGAGGAGAAAGGATGAGTCCAGGAGGGGTGAACAGTGGCTCAGAGGCCTGTGGGGTACCCAGGAGGTGCCACAGAGGACCTGCATCTAAGGGTCTTTGGGAGTGGGTTCAGCAAGAATCCTCTGCAGGAGTTGTGAGGTTCTAGAATAAAAGGTCTGGCAATGCTGGGAGGAGACAAGTGAGTATGAGAGGACAATATGTGTGGTCATAGTATATGAACATAGCTGCCAAGTCTTGGAGATGGTGGGACTAGACGATCCACCAAACTGGAGTTAGTATTTCTGGCCACTATTGGTGACCCCAGCCTAGATTCCCTGGCCTGGATCCACAAAGACTCATATCGAGATAGAAGTCCTGTTTGGGGCCACCCCATGCTATCCTCCCTACTAGATCTCCTGGGCTGACCCCACACCTCTGGCTACCAAGGGAGTAACAGGTATCACAGATACCCAGTGGACCTCAGACAGGCTACATACCTACCCTTTCACTCTCAGAATGACATGGTCAAAGCCAAGTGTCTGAAGCTCTGTCACAACACACAGTGATGGCATGTATGCAGTCTGCTAAGATGAAACAGGCATCAGGCTGTTACCGTGCACACGTTTGACAAATTTTTATCAGGAAGCCTCTCTGGACTGTGATGTTAAACCCTCTGACCCAGGACCTGGAGGCTGGGAGGGGAGGCTGAGGCTGTGGACTTCCAAAGTGCCCTGCAAGGATTTACACAATGTGCATCCATTCAACTTCCAATTTTGGGTCTTTTTTGTTGCCAAATAAAGAGACCACTACCACCCCTGGGTTTGAGGACTGAGGTGAGGATGGGCCCTGGTCTGCTGAGGGCCACAGGGAGAAACCTGGGCCCCACCCCACCCATCCAACTCAGTGTCCCAGGATGGGAGGGTGCACACACACATGGCCTTAGGTGACAGCAAATCCTCTTTCCAACTCAGGAAGTGAACAGGTGGGCACTTGCCCACCAGACCCTGCAGAAACAAGTCTCTTCCAAACCTGTTGTTGTAATCACCTCTTGTTAGGGCAGTGGGGACATAAAGGGTCCTGTAGTGGTGCTTTGGTAACAACGGGACATGGCCATTGCTGAGGCTGCCGTGAGAAACTGAATAAAAGAGCATGGCTCAAGAGCCACCACCTTGATGTCTGTCTTCCTCTGCCCACCCAGGGGACTGCCTCCTCTACTTGCCCCACCCACTGGGAGACTGCCATGTGCACACAACCAGGCCTGACATCACCCAGCTCTCACACCAGCAGACCAGAGCACGGGTGCCAGAGCATGGGGGCAGAGTGGTGAGCTGTCTGGATACTGGGCCTGTGGCCTGGATTCAACTGCTGGCTCTGCTATGTACAACTCATCCCCTCTCTCTGCCTCAGTTTCCTCATCTGTAAGGTGGGGATACCAGCCACAGTAGCCTGGCAGGTACTACTCAGTGTAGTATAGGTACTGTGAGTGTAGCCTCACAGGCCTGGCAACTGGCACGTGTTGGCGCTTATCAAGATCCTGCCTTCAGGATGCTGCAAATTCCCTCTGTAGGCCTGAATCTCTCTCTCTCTCTCTCTCTCGTGTTCTTTGTCCCAGAGGTGGAAGATAGGACCTAGACCCAAGGTCAACCCCAGACCCCCACATGAGCTCCTGTCCACTGGGTCCACTTCCAGATCTAGAGGAAGGAGGCCTTGGAGGACTATCCTGAGGGTTGGCCTGGTGGCCAGTTTGTGCATGGGCAGGGGAAATGTCGAGGGCTGCTTCCCCAGCATTCCAGCACTCCCCTGCCTCACCTGAGCACCCACAGTCATAATGGGCATGAAACAGCACTCTGACTCCCAAGTCTCTGCCCTACTGAAGTCCCAGGATACAAACGGGGAGACAATCCCCCTGATATTTCTGCAGCCTGACCACTTAGGGCTGGAGTGAGCTGTGGCTGAAATGGCAAACATCATCACACGTGCAGACGGAACCACAGTGCACATATGGTCTCCTCCAAAATGTGGATATGGAGGGAACACAGCTGTGTTACGACAAGCCAGGGAAGGCTGGAGCTGTGAACTCAGGCTTCAGCAGGCTTCGAGACTGCGGCTGGACTGGAGGCAGGAGTGGGCCCCGCTTCCCTCCCCAGTGAGCCCTCTGATGAGGCCACCGAAGAAGGCCTGGCCTGGGGGCAGAGGCCTGCCCCACGCCGGGGTCTCCGCACAGGTTTCTCTCCTGTGTGGATCCTCTGGTGGTGGAAGAGGGCCGGGCGCTCGCGGAAGGCGCGGCCACAGTGCGAGCACACGAAGGGCTTCTCGCCCGTGTGGATGCGTCGGTGGCTGAGCAACACCGCGCCCTTGGCGAAAGCCTTCCCGCAGTCCCCGCAGCGGAAGGGCCGCTCGCCTGTGTGCAGCAGCTGATGCTGCGTGAGGTTAGAGCTATGACTGAAGGCGCGGCCGCACTGTGCACAGGCGAAGGGCTTCTCGCCCGTGTGCACACGCTGGTGCTTGAAGAGAGAAGAACCCTGGCTGAAGGCAGCCCCACAAAGGGCACAGGTGTAAGGCTTCTCCCCCGTGTGCGTGCGCTCGTGCTGAATCAGGTGTGAGTTGCGGCAGAAACGGCGGCCACACTGGGCGCATGCGTACGGCCGCCCACCTGCGTGGATCTTGCGGTGCTGGCTGAGGTTGGAGCCGTGGCTGAAGGCCTTGCCACACTCGCCGCAGCGGAAGGACTTCTCGGCGGTGTGTATGCGCTGGTGCCTCACCAGCGAGGAGCTGTGCCGGAAGGCCTTGCCGCAGGCCGGGCATGCGTATGGCGTCTCCCCACTGTGGATGCGCTGGTGCTGCGTCAGGTGTGAGGTCTGGCTGAAGGCCTTGCCGCACTGCGCACACTCGTAGGGCCGCTCCCCGGTGTGCGTGCGCAGGTGCTTGAGCAGGTCGGAGCTCTTCACGAACACCTTGTTGCACGCCCTACATTCGAAGGGCTTCTCCCCGGGGAGGAGGCCAGGGCCCATGTGGAGGGCCTTGCCCAGCTGATCCCAGGCTGAGGGCTCCTGGGCAGCAGGGTGTCCATGAGACTTGTGGCTAGCCGGACTCTTTCCTCCTTCCCCAGAGGTGAGACCAGCTTCAAATTCTGGAATTTTGGAGAAACCTCTCCGAGAGGCCCCCCGCCCACATGCCCTTAGCTGCTTGCCTGGCATGGGGCGGGTCACAAGGGCCTTCTCCCTAGGTGGGCAGTCCTCAGCTGGCCTCAGTGGGGAAGTCAGGCGCAGACTGACACTGGCCTCCCCACTGCCAGGACCTAGCAGGAGCTGTTCCCAATAGATTACAGACACCCCTGTGGGTTTTTTCTCCTGAGAGGGGGAAATGCCCTGCCAGCCCTCCAGGCTCTTCCGGTGCTCACAGATGCCAGTGAAGGGGAGGACCCTTGTAGATGCTGGAGGGGAGCCATCATGGAAGGACCCTGGCAGCTCTGCTTCTGCTGGAACAACTCTGTCGTATGCCAGATGACGGGAACCTAAAGGCACAGAAATGGCAGATCCTGGGTCACCCTGGCCAAGAGGGGATTACTGGGCCAGGCCTAGTGTTCAGGCAAAGGGGATGCCAAGGATTAGGTGTGCAAGGTGGGGAGAAGAGCAATAGCCAGACACCAGTGTATGTCATTCCCTCTGGCCCCAGGAACTCCTCAAGCTTGCTTTTCCTCCTTACACTAATGGCTACCTGATGCTACAGGCTTTACTCACAAACTCATTTCCCCAGGCGTCTCCCCTGGCATGGTCAACTCCATGAGAGCAGGACTAGGAACATCCTGGGAAAGGCTGCGCCCCGGTGCCTGGAATGGGCTGCTCTGGGAGCTCCCCTTTAACGGGCAAGCCAAGACCAGAGCCTCCAAGAGGGGCTGATGATAGAAGGATAACGGGAGGGAGTCAGGTGGGAGGCAGGAGATGAGAGTGTCCAGGAGGGCAGGGAAAGGGAGACAGAAGCCTGGCCATTGGTGGGCCCAAGTTCACACTCTCCGAGTCCCCACTCACCAGGGCTGGGCTTCCGAGGAGCATTCCTGACTGGTGTCACAACTGTCCCACTGAGAACCCAGGGCTCCTCACCACGCTCAAGCTGAATGACCACCCGTGGTCGTGAGGCAGAGAGTCCTGTGAGAAAAGACAAGCAAGTGAAGGGCCAGGCCCGGCACAATGGGTAATAGGAGCCAGGACTTTATGGGACACAGATGGTGTCATCTGGTCAATGAAGAAAACCACACCACAGGGCAGGACTCATAGGAAAATAGCAATGGTTCCCGTGAGGAGAACCGGGTTGGCAGTAGCAGATGAAAGGGGCTGAGCCTGGACACAGAGGTGCCACAGCGGGACAGGGACATTTGGCCAGCTGGTGTGAGGCTGCTCGTAGGCCAATGGGAGATGCAGGGTTAGTGCTGGCAACAGCTAAGCTTCCCATGGAAAACCCAGGGCCTTACCCAGTGAGGCCACAAGTGCGAAGTTCTCTAGCATCACGTGGCAGTACAAGGCCTTCTGGGCTGCGTCCAGGAGCTCCCACTCCTCCTGGGAGAAGTACACGGCCACATCCTCAAAGGCCATCAGGCCCTACAACAGTGGGCAGGGGAAGATGGACACAATCTAAGCTATGGTTCTATGACCCAGGACCCACCTCCCTGGCCCAATGGCTACCTTTCCCATGTCCCTCAGAGGCTTACCTTCCTTGCCCTGAACCCCTCCTCCCCCGGGCTCTGCAACTGTGCCGATTAAACTTCCCTCCTCTCCCCTAAACCCTACCTGTCTAGGTCATAGATGCTTTCTCGGTCTCCACACGGGTCACTTACACATGGCAGCCAGAGCAAGCTCACGGCATTCAGATGGCTGCCACCCCAAAGGCAGGCCCAGGTGCCCCTTGTGCTCCAGCCTTTGCACAAACTGACCCTCCCAGACATGCCCTTAGCTCTTCTTGTAACTAGCTATTGTACAAGTCCCAGCTATGGACCTGCCGGGACACGCCCATGCCTGGAGGAATGCCATCTTCTGCAGAACGTGCCTGACATCCCAAGGCTGTTCCTCCAGCTTGAGGACTGACTGGCTGATCCCCTCCAGTCACTATAGGGAGGGGCCCAGGGATCCGGTGGCCACACAGGAAGTCAGTTTCCTCCTCCCTCCATAATTACGCACAGCCCACCCCTCCATTTCCTTGGCCAAAACCCCTGCCTTCAGCCACTTGCCAGACTTCCTCCCAGAACCCCAGAGGCTACCGACCTGTCTTCATCTCCCTGGAGAGCTACCCATCCCTGGCTGAGTCCATGAGATTCCTTCCTCCTAAATGGGATTTCCAGGCCCTGCCTTGGCTCGGAATATCAGGACCGTGTCCTTGGACATCTGCAGTTTCGGGTCCACGTGATGATACCTCTGCTCTGGGACATACTCTTAAGCCTGCTTTCCCCTCAGGTTCCTGTTTCTGATACAGCAGTTCTATTCTTCCGGGTGTTCAGGCCAAAAACCCTGGGACTGTGCTCAGCTGGGGCCACTCGCTCCCCCGCCGTACCTGAGACATCGGATCTAAACCGAACCCACCAAGTTTCCCATCTCCACCGGCCCAGTGCGACGCAAGCGGCGACTCGGGCCACCTGCTGTGGCACTGCTTGCTCCCTGCGCGCGGCCACCCCGGTCTGCGTCTTTTCTCCGCAAAGCACACGCGGCGACACTTTAAAAGCCCTAACTTGAAACATGTCCGGTCTCCGTCGAACCCTCCTCGGCCTACCATTTCTGTCCGGGGCTCACGTCAGAAGCCCAGCTCCGGGAGCACCCAGGCTCAGTCTCCCCTCCCGGCTTTTGCACGTGCGGCGCCCTCCGCCTGCAACTTCCTTCCACCCTCACCCCCTTGGCCGCCAGGACAGGGGATCTCACACGTGCACGCCCCCCCATGGCCTGAACACCGGGGCCTGGGACGAACCGAGACGGGAGACAAAACGTCCCGAGGGGGCCCCTCCCTGAGTCGGGACTCGGGTCCCTCCAGGAGCGACCTAGGCGGGTGGCTGGGGGGTGGGGAAGGGAGTCCGACGCCTCCTCGACTCACCTGCGCCGGGTCTGTCAGCGCCGCGGTCGCCATCAGAGCCTGCACTTGGGGACGCGCAGAAAGCGACGGACGACGCGAACGTCCCGATTCCGGGCCTCAGTCTCCCCGTCCGTCCACGGCACAGACGTCCCGGAGCCCAGGACGCCGCCTCCCCTGCCGCCCGGGGGTCGGAGAACACGTGACGCGGGCCACCGCCCCACAGCCCCGCGGGGCGGCCCAGGCTACACCCGGAGAAACCGAGGTTCGGGGGGCGCGACGGCCGCCGGCGCCCACGCCATGCGCCCAACCGTCCTCCGCTCACGCCCTCGTCGCCGCCCTCGCCTCGGGTCTTCACGCCTCCTGGAACCCCGCCTGTGCCCGCCGCGCTAGGGTCCCCAACACCGGTGTGGCCCCGCGCCCCGCTGCAAAGTGACAGTCGCCGGACGCCGGAAGTCCAGCCCCCGCAAGCCCTCATTGGCCCAATGCGCGCTGCGGACGCACGCGCGCGGCCTTCTGGGAAGCGTAGTTCCCGCCCGCTCTGCAACCGGGCTAGCGTCGCTCTTTAGGATCTCCGCGCAGCACGCTGGGAAATGGAGTCCCGCAGGCGTACCCCTGCTTCCTCCGGCCAGCGAGCGTTCGGTGGCTAGTCGGCGTCCTGGGACCCATGACGGAACCCGAGCGGCCCGAGGCTAAACGCTGCACGCGCGGAAGCGGGAACCACTGAGGTGCCAGGAGGCGACCCCAGCCCGGGGCTTTAAGGACAAAGCCCAGTGGGAGGGGCGGGCCAGAAGGGGTGGAGCTGGGGAAGCGAGCCCGGGAATGCGACCCCAGGTTCACCTCTGGAGGCCTGTGCTTCGTTTGGCCTCTCTGTGGCCTGTGAAGGGTTAACACCAGCTTTGCAGCCCCTGCACCAAGGTGTGCAAGCCCCCAGCCTCAATTACTTCCATACATACAGGTACGCATGCATACATACAGACAGACGTGGTACAGTAACGTTACCCAGCGCCTTGTTGCCCACTTTGGTAAGGAGATAGGGAATTCATCTTCGTCAAGCTCATTCATTCTTTCTGTCTTCCTTAGTCTCTTTCTCCCTCCTTGTACATGCATCTGTCTCAGCCATAACTATCTTTGGAATGTAAATCCTCGAAATGCAAGAGAGCCCATCAATTTTGGAATATTCGGGTTGTTTTTTTATATTTATTTATTTATTTGACAGAGATCGCAAGTAGGCATAGAGGCAGGCAGAGATGGGTGGGGGAAGCAGGCTCCCCGCTGAGGAGAGAGTGTGACGCGGGGCTCGATCCCAGGACCCCAGGACCATGACCCAAGCCGAAGGCAGAGATTTTAACCCACTGAGCCACCCAAGTGCCCCAGGAATATTCGTTTGTTAAGTATTGCTCACTTTGAAAGAATTTAAGGAAATCTAACATCTTAAACTCATGATTTAATCAAAAGCTTAGAGGCATTAACATTTCAAGCACCGTTTGAATGTTTGGAGACATTTAATTTCTTAAAACCTTATTTTTAAAATTATCCCTGTAGGGGCGCCTGGGTGGCTCAGTGGGTTAAAGCCTCTGCCTTCCGCTCAGGTCATGATCCCAGGGTACTGGAATCGAGCCCCTCATCGACCCCGCATTGGGCTCTCTGCTCTGCCGGGGAGCCTGCTTCCTCCTCTCTGTCTGCCTGCCTCTCTGCCTACTTGTGTTTTCTGTCAAATAAATAAATAAAATCTTTAAAAAATAATAAAATCATCCCTGTAATGTGCAATTACTTAGACTAGAGGGATCCTGATTGCCTAATATTTAGAGATATGCTAATTGTTTGATAAATTCATAATTTAATGAATTGGAAATGAAATAAAAATGGCAACTTCCTCTGTACACAAAATAGTTCCATATCCCTGGCTCGGATCTCCCCTAAACAAGATTGCACTGCCGGGTGGGGGTGGGGGCTGTTATCTGGTGGGGGTGGGGGCTGTTATCTGGTGCTGGTGGTTGGACTCCAAACAACCCGGTGGGACCTCTGTGAATCCCCGTGCACACCTGTAAACCAGATAATAGTAGACACTTGCATTCTGCGGAATTGTGCTGAGCACCAGTTCTTTCCTTGGCTGGGCTGAGCCTACTGATGAGACCACTGAAGGCACTCTTCATTTCTACTGGTGGTGTTTCCTTCAAGCCTTCACTTTTGACCTTTCCATAGTTTCCATCTCTCCACTTACATTATCCATCTATTCCTGCATTTTGTCTGCTTTTTCCACTAGAGCCCTTAACATCTTTCTTAATCATTGTTATTTTACATCCTGATAGTTCCAACCTCAGTGTCCTATGTGATTGTCATTGTGATGATTGCTTTGTGTGTCCTCAGATTTTCTTTTTTTCTTGCCTTTTGACATGCCTTGTCAGTTGCTGCTGAAAGCCAGACATATGTTTGGTAACAGGAAGTAAGGTAAACAGGAGGTTCGTGTGAGGATTTATGGTAATGTGGTAGGAGTAGGGCTGAACTTGCTTGCTATAGTTATGGACACCAGAGGCTTCAGATTCCTCCTGTGCGCTAGTTTTCATCTCTTCTCCAGACTTTGTGCTCTGGTGAGTATTCTTCACAGAGGGTCCCTGTCTTGCATCTCTGTTAGGTGTAACCCAGTGTTGTTACACTGTAGCTCCACGGATGCCGTGTCAGGTGTTCCAGGGCAGGAGCATACTAAATCTTCCAGTGAAATCTCAGTCTTCAGTGGGACTGAGTCTCAAGAGCACATCTCTACCGCTGTAGTTTCTTTTACTTCCTGACCCCAACTGCCTTCCCTGGCTATGGCATTCTCAGTGTATTTCCCTGAAGCCCTAGCACCTGTTGACTATGACCTCTCAGTTAGGTGAGAGAAGAAGGCTAGAGTGACCTGGAATGGGAGCAGCTTTCTTCACCCAGCTGGAAAGAGCTCTAGCAGCTTTACTCCTGGTAGTATATGTCTTTGTAGGGAAAAGGCTCTGCCTATATTTCATAATGGTTATGTTTCTGGTCATATGACAGCTCCTCTTCCTCTGCTCCACGCTAACACCCGAAAAACAGAGAAATGCCAGTTAACTGAGTGCATATTGGACACAACCAGGATGAAGTCCATGGAGTCACTGCCAAGGGGACAGGAATTAGGTTACCTGTGCGCCTCCACAGCCTAGACTGGGGGGACCCCACGCAGGTGTGAGTACAGACTGACATGGTAGGCCTCTTGCTCACTTATCTGTTTGGGGGATTTGGTACAGCCTTAGCCTCTGCTGACAAGGGAGCACCATGTTGGGAAGCATGTCTAGGCAGTGGTTATACCTGGACTGCAACCCCTTGGAGGGAACACACTGCTGTCATCAAATAGCACATTAACAAGACATTTCAAAGACATGTGGTCAAGTCAGGACACATTAAGGGGAGTCTGGTGTTAAAGGACCTAGGAGAAAGAGAGGAGGGTTGAGGGGAAAGGATGAAATATGAGGCCACAGAAGTTGGGCACAGCAAGGGGCTGGGAATCAGGAGAGAAAAGGAGAGTGGAAGGACATTCTGGAGTGTCTACTATTTGAAAAGACACAACAAGCCCAAATGGAGTAATTTGCCCCCATCAAGATGGCAAACTAAGACAATTGAACCAATGTGCCAAAGTAATAGAATATGTATAAGTTCCTTAATATATATGCAAGCTCCCTGTCCCCACATCCCAAGACACTAAATAAAAGTTTTCTAGGGAGCCTGGGGAAGCTCTGTCCATTAAACATCTGACTCTTAATCTCGGCTCAAGTCATGATCTCAGTGTCTTGGGATCGAGCCCCACATTGGGCTACCTTTCCCACTCTTGCTCCCTCTCTCCCTTTCTCTCCCAAATAAATACATAAAATCCCCCCCCCCCAAAAAAAAAGCCAACATGGAAGAAGAGTCAGAGCTTAGGCCCAAGCTAGGTCAGGCTGACCTGAGTTTGCAGCTCAGTTCCTCTGACTATAACCTGCATGATCTTGGGCCCTGATGTCCCGTGATTTCGGTTTCTTCACATCTCAATTACTGGACTGAGATTGCACAGCTTGTGGTTTTGGGGAGTATCAACATTCAGCCCCTGGCCCAGGCAGCTTTGCATTAATGCTGGGCACCTCCCTGACTTATGGAAAACACTGCACCTGTCTTGGGCCACACCCTTAACAGTGTTATAGCCCTACACACTTGGGAGCCAGAAAGTGCCTCTAGCCACCGGCGTCCTCTCCCACTCCATCCCAGTTCAGAGGGTTCCATTCTCTTTTTTTTTTAAGACTTTATTTATTTATTTGACAGATGGACATCACAAGTAGGTAGAGAGGCAGGCAGAGAGAGAGAGAGGAAAGGAAGCAGGCTCCCCACTGAGCAGAGAACCCGATGGGGGCTCGATCCCAGGACCCTGGGATCATGACCTGAGCTGAAGGCAGAGGCTTTAACCCACTGAGCCACCCAGGCGCCCAGAGGGTTCCATTCTTGACTGCTGCAGGAACCAGAATGTCACCTGCTCCTGCCCTACCTTTCATCTCTCAGGGCAGCTGGCTGCTAGTGTGCACGGTGATGAGGAAGCTGGCACCGCGGGCCATACCTCGGGTGGCCAGCCTTGGCATGTAGGATAGGGAGAGGGAGTAGCCCAAGTGCCCAGAGCAAATCACTTGGCACCTGGGACCTCCTGGTTTAACCACATGGCAATGGAATGGTGACACTTACACGGAGGTCTCTAATAACAAAACTACAACAACTTAACGAGTTCGATGTCTCTTGTTCAAGGGAAAACCATCCGTGGATTCTGTGTGTCTAGCGTCTCATAGTACTGGAGCATTCTTTTCAAGGGATTGGAGGCCCCGATGAATGAATGAACTTTATCATGGCCTACCTTGTTTGAGCTACTGTTTTCAGCTTTTCGCATATGTTCACTCATTTACAGCTCATGACCCCTGTGAGGCGGGTGCTGTTGCTGCTGTGTTTGTACCTGTCCCAGGACAGCATAGGAGGAATAGTGTGGCTGGATACCGGCTTGCTCTGCAGTCCTTGTACTTCACTGGTGCCCTCTCCCACTTACTCTCCATGATGATAAAATCATCATAATAAAGCCACTGACCAGGCAGGGTGGATTTGAGGGTCTTTGGAAGGAGAGGAAATATCCTTAGGTGGTGGCAGTGGAGGGAACTTAAGCACGTGACCAGTGTTTCTGGTGCCTAAGCCAGCTTCCCCATTGACACCGAATCACTACAGCCCGGCTGCTGAACCCCAGTCTGCATTCCAAGGGAGAAGCAGGCCAGTCAAGGCCAGTCAAGGGAGACAATGGCCCCAGAAATTCCAGGGTGTGGGCTTTATAGCAATTTTTAAAAAAGATTTTATTTATTTATTTGACAAAGAGAGAGAGAGAGAGAT